AAGGGTCTCGTGTGACATTTTAATTCACATCACCCAAGGAAGAATACGAATTCATACGTGCGGACATATAACTAAGGAAATTGATAAAATGACGTGTAGATGTCGAACACTCTATTTATCCGAACGAGTGAAATATCAAAATAACAGAATCATGAAAATAATTCAGCTGTGATCCCAATGCCTTTCACTGAAGGTCTTTCTAGCAAGAGAATAGCAAAATATCACTTCGGTGTTTTAGGAATTTCCCAGTAGTGGTGCTAAAATGAGGGACGTAGCTTCGCCTTAACATACCTTTTCAATGAACGCTCGAATGGCCGTAGCTTCTTCACGAAAGTTGTTCCTTACGTCCTAAACTTCGCAAACACTGTATATACACAGCTGGTACACACACACCTATAACCAGTTCATAATTGTTCTTAAATCGGCAAATTTGCCAAATGGCCTCAACTTGACGAAATTCCCGTAGAACTTCATAAAAACAATCATAAAAGAGTCCCGAGATGATTACCTTAGTTAACCAAGTGTAAACCTTTAAGAAACACCAATAACTACAAATTTATATCTTCAAAAACTTGCTCCAAACGCAGCTAATAGAAGGGGAAAACGATTACCCCGTGTAAAGATCACATTTCTAGGCACGGGGGTAATCTTTAATGGTAGAAATCGTCGAAAACTAACATTCATCATGAAAGTACTCCATAGGAACCTTCTCTTAAGCTTTCTTTCTGGTTTGGAAGTAAAATGAAATGTTTTCATGGCTTAAAACGTTAAATGAGCCGACACATCATATTTTTTACCCGACCTGGATTCTTCCCCGGTAGTCCCTAGTAAAACCCTAATAACTTTTTACTCTGATGTCGATTTGATACGGGGTTTTGTGCGTTGCAAACTAGACTCGTAGGCCTTCGATTTAATGGGTGATAGGCCTTCTAACTCTTTGTATATTGGGAGAAAACATCCAAGACATTTGACCCAAAGTTAAGAAAATATTATTAGAGAAACTTCGATAACTTTTGTCGACTTTAGTTTCACTAATTTTCTTGACTTCCAAACTTAACATACGACCCTTGTGCTATTATAATACCTCATAACACACTATTCTTAGCATGTTTTACACTCATAGGATTATCCACAAGGTATGGGACAAGTTAAACCTTTCAAACGGGCGAAGTTCTACCGGAGCCATTTCTTTTATCATGAACTTTGTTTGAGGGGTCCTTTTGACCTAAAACTTTAGTTTAGTTCCTTGATATTTCCACCTACTTGCAATCTTAATCTCCAATGTACGATACAAAGTCATATACACCTCATATAACCATGACATACTACGCCACATATATCATGCACGATTAGAGAAAAAGTACAGGATCGTACACATCCCCAAGTCGAACATAAAAACAAATACAATCACAACTTTTTAAATAATTTGGTGTTTCAGTGGAGATTTTCTACTGATTTTGTATTCATGTTTCAGGTAACTATCATAAATTCAATAACATAGTCCCCCTAATGTTATCGATTCAAGGAAAAACATTGATATTCATCAATAACAATAGAAAAATATTCAAGCAATGATGAGAGTTGAATAAAATAACAACAACCTTAACATATAAAGTAGTCAATTCAATCAATTTTCCATCAAACTAATAGCGGGATTTAAATCACACATCACACATAGAAAACACAGGAAAAAACGTACTTCAACAAAATTACAAATCGCCTCAACTATTGGAGCACCTGGGAAGTGAAGGATGAGATCAATCCTGCAAAACCTAAAAAAGAAAACGTAAATAAAGAAATCTTCAAACTTCAATGGATTTCCAAAATCGATTCTTCTTCAATGATTTAACAGGGCTTTATTGAAAATACAACCACTAGTGTAAAATTCTATAATCTGAAAGTAGGAATTTGTTTGGATTTGAAACCTAGAAGATATGCAAACAATGGCTTGCCTGTGAATCTTTCTCTTTAGCGTATGAGTTGAAAGGAGAAGGTTGAGGAAAACGATCTCCAGGTTATGTAGAAATATGGTTTTTTTTCTTATAAAAACTTAATTTTCTTATTATAATTGGAGAGAATAGTTAATTGTAGTAAAAAATAGGGTTTTTTTCTAAAAACATAATTTATAATTGGAGGAAATAGTTAATTGTAGTAAAAAAATTAGAGGGAAAAAAATGAAAGGCTGAAAGATGCGTTATATAATTAGTGATTTTTACTAATAAATTATTTTTATTGCCATTGAAAAGATACCTTTTAGCGGCTATTGTTTATATGTCACTAAAATATCAGCTTAAAGAATTAATGAGTGGTAATACAAGCAACTATTGGGATGAAATATTAGGCTAGAAGACTTTCACAAAGGTTGATTTCGGACAATCCAGGCCTAGTTAACAACTGATTTAAAAGGACTAGTACTCAGTTAGAAAGAAGAGGGGGTGAATCGTGAAGTCTGTGCTCCTCTGGTATGTGGTTAAAGTCAGAATGGTTGCATCTAGAATCCTCATTAATATTCCAATAAATGTAAACAATATGGCCATATCAAACGATACTATCAACTTTTCACTAGTAGCAGTAAACAGTTAAACCAAATCTATCGCCTGCCTACTCTTAGTTCTACTGCCTGTCATTTTGTACATCACTTTTACACGCTCAAGAGATTCTTTATTTTTTTCTAAGGAAGCTTCATACTTGCTCTTACTGAGATGCATTTCTAATACTAAATTTATTTAACTGCTACCATTTATTGTTGATTAACATTAGACCTACCATATACATGTACATTATGTCAACCTAGATGCATTACTAATACTTTGGGATAGAAATTGACACTGAAAACATGTTTGAACAGGAGTCATCACCATAAACAAATCCCACACACTTCTGAGTCTCATTCACCTCAGCTAAGTGACAAGTGCAGTAACATATTTGAAAAAATGTAGTTCAAGCCAAACTGCAGGACGCTAAGATAGTAGAGTCTGAGTTAGTCATTTTTAAGATAGTAGAGTCTGAGTTAGTCCTTTCTAAGATAGCAGAGTCTGAGTTGGTCATGTTTCTCCAACTTAATGGGCTTTCCGTCCCATTCACCAACTCAATTCGAGACAGCTAATGCTCCACTAAAAAGATTCAAATAACCTTTCAAGGTCAAATCAAGCTCACAGAGTTGGAACCATATGGATTCAAATTAACATATATAATATAGTTACTGCCCATACTAATAAGAAGGTCAAAAACATCTATAGTGTTAGCAGCACCTAGCATTTTAACCTTTAAGATTTTCAAATATAAAGTCAATGAAGTTACAAAATTTTGGACTTACATGGACAATTCGAGAACGCTCACCAACAAAAGATTTTCCATCGTGACCATGGGTATGAATGTGCAAATGCAACTCACTTGGTGTTGGATCTCGACCCTTTTCAACAGCCTATACAAAAATAAAATTGTAATCACTTCTTTTTAGAGATATCTCTATTACAAGAATGATTCAAGTAGATGACAAAAAGAAAAGCAGGTCTACAAGCCACTGCAATGAGGCTATATAGCTGGTCTGATTGCTTTCTTGTATTGAGATTTTAGAATGCTATACACAGCCCCCCTGCAAGTTTACTTTAGATACCGGGACATCGTTGTGAATCAGTAGTAAGTTGTGACCATTGTGCTTTTGACTAATACATAATGTGAACTTCTCATGCTATCAACCAATTTTACCAGGTCTACGTAGTCAAGGTATATGTTCTAAGAACTTAAAAAGCACAATAACATAGTTGATAACTCCCCTGCCCCCTACACACATTTCTATAACTCTACAACAACAACAAACTCAGTGTAATCAACAAAATTAACTAATCAAATTTGTCAGTTCTCGTTATCATTAAGACTAGAAGTATATTGGTCAAAAGCACAATGATCACAACTTCCAACAAATACCCAGTTCCTTAGAAAGTT